GGGGCCAATGTAGAGCTCAGGCCATGGCTTCAGAGGGTGCAAGCCCCAAGCCTTGGCAGCTTCCATGTGATATTGAGTCTGTGTGTGCACAGAAGACAAGAATTGAGGTTGGGGAACCTCCACCTAGATTTCAGAGATGTATGGAAATGCCTGGATGTCCAAGCAGAAGCTTGCTGCAGGGGCAGGACCCTTATTGAGAACCTCTGTTAGGGCAGTGTGGAAGGGAAATGTTTGGTAGGAGCCCCCACACAGAATCCCTGCTGGGGTACTGCTTAGTGGAGCTGTGACACCAGGGCCTCCATCCTCCAGACCCCAATATGGTAGATTCACTGACAACTTGTACTGTGCACCTGAAAAAGCTGCAGATATTCAACCCCATCCAGGGAAAGCAGCCAGAAGGGAGGCTGTACCATGCAAAGCCACAGGGGCAGAGCTGTCCAAGGCCATCAGAACCCACCTCTTGCATCAGCATGACCTGGATGTGAGACATGGAGTCAAAGGAGATGATTCTGGAACTTAAGATTTGACTGCCCTGCTAGATTTCAGGTTTTCATGGGCCTGTAATCCCTTGGTTTGGGCAAATTTATCCCATTTGAAATGGCTTTATTTGCCCAATGCCTGTACCCCTATTGTATCTAGAAAGTAACTAACTTGCTTTTGATTTTACAGGCACAGGCTCATGGGCAGAAGGGACTTGCCTTGTCTCAGATGAGACTTTGGACTGTGGACTTTTGAGTTAATACTGAAATGAGTTAAGGCTTTGGGGGACTGTTAGGAAGGCATCATTGGTTTTTGAAATGTGAGGACATGAGATTTAGGAGGGGTCAGGGATGGAATGATATCGTTTGGCTGCTTCCCCACCCAAATTTCTTCTTGAGTTCCCATATGTTTTGGGAGGGACCAGGTGGTAGGTAATTGAATCATGGGGGCAGGTCTTTCCTGTGCTATTCTCATGATAGTAAATATGTCTCGCAAAATCTGATGGTTTTAAAAAGGGAAGTTTCCCTGAACAAGCTTTTTTTGCCTGCTGCCATCCATGTAAGATGTGATTTGCTTCTCTTTGTCTTCTGCCATGATTGTGAGGCTTCTAAAGCCACATGAAACTGTAAGTCTGTTAAACCTCTGTTGTAACATTCTCAGTCTCAGATATATCTTTATCAACAGGATAAAAAACAGACTAATACAGATAGCATGAGAATATAATCACAGTATTTGAATTAAAAAGATATTATCAAATACTATATGCAATATTATTCTATTTGTGGAAAAATATATGAACACTTGGAAAAGAGACTGAAAGAATATTGATCCAAATGTAAAGCAGGTTTATCTGTAGGTGATGAGATCTGGTGAACTTATATTTTTATTTGTGCTTTTTAATATTTCCCAAATTTTCTACAATGAATATAGATAGTTCAGTAGATTGTTCTAAAGATAAATAAGGCAGATTATCTGTGTTAAAAATATCAGAGTATTTATGTAGAACAATCTACATAAATAAATTGTAGATTATAGAATTATTAACCTGGAGTATTTGGGCTCCTAGAGTGCCCATAATTGGGTGTCAAAGAGTCTGTGAACCCTGTGGAGCAATTTGTATTTATTGTTGTTGATGGAAGGGAATCCATATATTTCATAAAATTCTCTAAGTGGTCTGCAACCCTCAAGACCAAAGGAAAAGTACTTTACAGCAACGTGTTCTAAATCCTGTTTAAAACAATTTAAAGTAGGTGTCTCTAGGCTCCTCATTTTAAAGATTGTGTATATATAAACTGGTTTGGCACATGGGCCATTCATACTGAAACCATTTGGAATAAAGCCAGAATATTTATGGAAATAAATAAGATTAGCACCCATTTGAAATGACAACAGAAAAGGCAAGTTATCTTTTGTTTGATAAGAACTGTATCTTACTACCAAAACATCCTGAATTATTCAAAATTAAGACCCAAATTTTCACGTTAAAGTTGAATAGCATAATGACTCATTTCTGTTAAAAATCCTCATTATGAAGTACATTTTGAAACATTACCTACTGAATTAACATTCAACTTTGCTTTCTTTTGATCCTTACTTAAATAAACATGTAATATTGACTTCTTACTTTGTAAGCCTTCACATGGTCTTTGATCAGAAGCGATAGAACCTGAAAATGACCTTTATAAATGGACTTATATTTTACTCTTGTGAATGGAGGTAGAGAGGGGCTAAAAGACGCTCTGTACTTCTTTGCTTACCAAGCGTAAAAATCTTATGGAGACAATGTCAACACCACCCACATATTTGAAACCCTGAAGGATATTGGTTTGTTATTTATTCAAAAGTTAAGTTTTTTGAAACCTTCTTTCATTTGCCTTTACACTTTCATTTTGGTTAATTGTGCACATAAACTTACACACACTTCTTTCATTCATCAACTGAAGAATTGCACTCTGGCTACAAAGACCACATCATAAGTACTTACTAAGTTATAAGTTAAAAAGAAGTGGATTCATTTTTAATTTATTATTAAATAAAATTATTATTTCCCATTTGGGACAGATGCAGAATTTGTGGCTCCTTAAAATAGCAGCCTGCAGGCTTATTTCTGTCCAGAGAACAGTACAGTCCTTTTGAGTTTGACCCTATAAAATGTTTTGTTTATTTGCTTTTTAATTTCAGGGTTGATCTTGCAGTCATTACACACACTGGTTCATGGTGAACATTGGAAACTTGCCTCCATATTCTTTGGTGGAAGAAGGCATGTGATGGCCCTCCCTTTTAAAAAGTTATTTGCAATCCAGTACAGCCAGTTTTTGTTTTTGGATAATTTTATCTAGAACTGTGACATTTTGGGGAGTTTTATGCATTGGAATGTCCTGTTCACTAATCCATTGATAGGAGAGGGGTGCTGCAACTCACTCACTGCTTCTCATTTGGTTATTGACCAAGTTCTACCATATAGGCTACTGAAGTGTTCATTATGAACTGTCAAGTCTTAAGGACAAAGAGCATTGTTCCAAATGTCATATTTCTAAGGATAAGAAGAGTGGGAAGAATATTAACCTCCTCTAAGTTAATAATAAAGATTCTGATCAGAGGATTCTGATGAGGCCGTTTATATAGGAATAGAAAGGCAGGGCTGGGTGTGGCTCACGCCTATAATCCCAGCACTTTGGGAGGCTGAGGTGGGTGAATCACCTGACGTCAGGGGTTCTAGGCCAGCTGGGTCAACATGGTGAAACCCCGTCTCTACTAAAAATACAAAAATTAACTGGGCATGGTGGTGGACACCCGTAATCCCAGTTACTAGGGAGGCTGAGGCAGGAGAATTGCTTGAACCTAGGAGATGGAGGTTGCAGTGGGCTGAGATCATGCCAATGCACTCAAACCTGAGCAACAAGAACAAAACTTTATCAAAAAAAAAAAAAAAAGAGTAGAATAGAAAGACAAAAATCAAGAATCTATAACATATGGAAGAAGGAAGAGTTCCCTGAAGATACTTCTGGTAATTTCGTTATGTTTTGCAGGGTAAGACCTAACAGTGAAAATGGTTCAACTTTTCAACTTAAAAAAAAAAAAAGATTTTCTCCTAAACATGTAACTATTGAAAAATCTAAGATACAGGGAATCAGAAGCAATATATGAGAGAAGGCATATGTTTGGTTAATGTGTTTCAATGTATGTTAAATATATTTTCCCACTGCTGATGTTCAATAGGTACAAAATAGTATAATGTGTGAAATACAGTGCTTTATAGAATAGTGCAGAAACTTTCCAGTGGAAGCCTCTTGTCTCTTTTCTATAGACTTGTGATCTGTGGAGATGTGCTCTCATGCTCTTCATTAATACTTTGCTCCTCCCCATCATTAAACATTTCAGATTTTTCTAAGTGAATACCATCCAACAACAGAATACGCATCCTTCATTGTTACAGTCAGCTGATATCTAGGGAACACTCCACATTTCTCCATAACTTCAATACTGAAGCATGTGCCTATTTGTCATTCTTCTTGCCAACTCAGTGACTGCAACACTACTCTTGGTTTTCTTGGTTTTCCTTCTCTGGCTTACTCCTATGATCTTTACAAAAACCATGGTTTCCATCTCCATTCCAATTTAGCCACTATGTTTATAGCCATAATTTAAATCTAATCATCAGTCAAGATTACTTTATTGTTAACATCCTAAATTCTAACATTTCCTTTTTTTCTTCCTCAAAACTTTGCTTTACTGCTCCACTCATTTCCTTAGCTCCACTGCTCACTTATTTGTCCTTCTTTTCTACTTCAGGTCCTTATTGCTCCTCTGATTTTCCAGTCCAGTGGCACCCAAGCTTTGGCATACATTAGAATCACTTGTTGAAACACAAATGTAGATTGTACTCTAGAGTTTCTGATTCTACGGGTCTGAGATAGGGCTTAAGAAACTGCATTTTAACAAGTTCCAAGTGAGACTGATGCTGGTGGTATGAAAACCACCCTCTGAGAAAAATTGTCTTTATTCAATAAAACTCTTGTTCCATTAGAGAAACAAGTGATTGGGAACAGGAACTTACAAGGATAGTTCAATGTATGCAACTGAATCAATGGGATACATCACATCAACAGAATGAAAACAAAAACCATATGATCATTTCAATTGATCCTGCAAAAGCATTCTCTATCTCATCCGTTTTTTATATCAACTGCCTTTTAAATTTTGGGTAACTTATTGGGTTAAAAATAGTATCTCACTCTTTAAACTGGTATATCATTTTTTTCTATTATGACTCATGTGACTAAGCATGTTTTTCATATTTGTTGGTTGTTTGCCTTTCTTTTATGTGAACTGACTACTGAACTAAATTCTGTTTCTTTCTTTCTCAGTGAGTGATAGGAATTTTTATACATTCTGGTGCTAATCCTTCGTTTGTTACTATATAACAATTTTATTAGTCTTTCACTTGTGTTTCAACTATGAATATGTTTTTTTCATATATTTTAATTATTTTAATATAATCAAGGATACCTATTTTTCACACTACCATTTTTGTTTTTGTTTTTCCTAGTTAATAGGGCCTTCCTTATCCTGGGGTCATGAACTAGTACTATTAGATCTCTTTCCTTTTCTTTCTTTCCTTTTTTCCTTCTTCTTTTCTTTTCTTTCTTTCATTTCTTTCTTTCTCTCTCTCTCTCTCTCTCTCTTTCTTTTTTCTATTCTTCTTTTTTTTTGAGACAGAGTCTTGCTCTGTCACCCATGCTGGAGTGCAGTGGTGCAATCTTGGCTCACTGCAACCTCCACCTCCTTGGTTCAAGCTATTCTCGTGCCTCAGCCTTCTAAGTAGCTGGGATTACAGGCATGTGGGCATGTACACAGCCATGTCTGGCTAAACTACATTTTTTCTTGATGCTTTTAAAGGTTTAAAATGTTTTGCTCTACTTTTTAAACTTTCTGAAATTAATTTTTCTGTATACTATGATGTAAAACTCTAACTTTAATTTTATCCTTATTAATAGTCCATCTTTTATTTATTTCCAGTGCTACCCCTCTCATAGACCAATACCTGTTATATGTGAGTTTATATTCGATTTGATGGGCCAGTTTACCTAATATGGCACCAATGCTACACTATTACTATAGCTTTATTATATGTTTTCATATTTGGAAGAACAACTCCCATTTACTTATTTTTCACAAATTTCTTTTTTTTTTTTTTTAAGTGAAAGCAAGTTTATTAAGAAAGCAAAGGAACAAAAAGAATGCTACTCCACAGGCAGAGCAGCCACAAATTTCTTATATTCTCTTGCAACTTACTTATCTGTGTGACTTTTAGAATAGACTTGTAAAGTTCCATGAAAAACCTTGTGGGGAATTTTGTTTGATATCGTGTTGAATTCATGGATTAATTTAGAGGACACTCACATCTTTAAAAGTGTGGATTTTCTCACCTACACACACCTTAACCTCTCCGCTTATTCCGGTATCCGTTTATGCCCTCAGGAATACTGTATAATTGACTCCGCGAATATTTAACCCTCTTGTTGTTATTGTTAAATTTATTCCTAGATACTTTGGTTTAACTGAAAAAAAATTCCTTTAACATTCATCCTCTCTCTTGATCTAATCCTGACACTCTAATTTCTTAAACGGTCCATTTTTTGAATGACCAGTTTGGAGAGTCTATTTCCTCCTTCATACCACCTGTTTTACTCCCTTGCAATATGACTTCTTTTCCTGTCACTGTAGAAAAATTATTCTTTAAAATATTGCTGTTGATACCTTAATTGCCTAATCCCACAATGTTTTGTCAGTTTTAATCATTCTCAATTTCTCTGCATTACTTGATGTTATTGACCCCTGCACCTATGTCAATACTTCTCCATTGCTGTCCATGGCATTTCACTCTCTTATTTGTTTCTTTTCCTATTACACTCTCATTGCTTCTTAACTGGCTTTTTATTCTCCTACTCTGTGAACATAATGTTCTTGTGACCTTGTCTTTCTATATGCCTTGTTCCTATGCACTGGAGGATGACAGGGATTTCAATATGCTCCCAGCAATGATGTTCATACTTGGAAGATTCTGAGTGGTGAATAAAGGTTTCTTAAACAAGTGGATCAACCTAATCATAGCTTTCAAATGCGTATTAACATGAAAGTCAGGTGACTATTGATTATTGGGCAAATCTGAGCTCTGTTTACCATTTTGGGGGCTACATTATGGTCTCATTCTACTTTCAGTTGTATTTTTCTCCTCCATTGTAATCAGACTATTCACTGCTTCGTAATATTGCCTTTGTTCCTGAGGTTTTCTCTACCTGGGATTCCTTCCATTTTTATTTGTTGAAATCTTGTCCATTACTTAGGAACCATATCATCTCTCTCATTTTCTTGGAAGTCTTTTCTCATTCCTCCTGGTTTGATGTAATCTCTTCCACTTTTGAATTTGCAAAGGCACTGTCTGATTTCTGCTACTCTCGTTACATTTGTATTCATTAATCGTAAAAACTCTCTTTAAAATTGGCACAGATTAAAAAGAATGATAATTCCCAATCTTGGCAAGGGTGAGGAATGAGAGAGTCTCAAACATTGTTGGTAGGAATTTCTAGAGCATAATTTGGCAACGTGTATCAAAGCCTTAAATATGCAATTAGTCCATGGTGCAGCAATTTCCATTTCCATGAATTTTTCCTAAGGAAATAGTCAAAGATATGTGCAGTGTTGCTCATTACAACATGATTTTTATAAAAGTAAAAAAAAAACTGTAAAAATCTGTGTCCAATAATCTACTTTTTATACGCTAAGATTGGCTCAGCAAACCTTAGCATATCTATAACAGAAGACAACAAAACCAAAATCATTTTCTAAAAGAATATTTATTTACATGAGAAAATGTTCACAATATGAAGAATAAAACAGGACATGCGACAATTTTTCCGTATAATATCATTATTTCAGAGGAAAATAAATGTGCTTAGAAAATATTAGAAAGACAGATCTAAAATGTTGATGATTTTGCAAGATTGTGGTTGATATGGGTTTTTTAAAGTCCTACTTCTCTATTGTTTTCAAATTTTTATATGTGTGCATTTTCTTTATAATTTATATTTGAATGGACTACATGATATGCTGCGCAGGTTCCTCTTCCTCTCTTCTCTACCCTCAACTATTAAAATGTAGGCTCTCATTCATCTGTTGCCAGAGGTACTAAAGGCTGACCTCCCCAGCTGATACCCAGTTCCCCAACTCCAGCAATTGCCCTTAACTGAGCAAAGCTGCCACTGGAGAGAGTTGCCTCTTCCAAAGTCACATGCCTTTCCCAAAGGGAGTCTGCATCTAGTGACTGTCATTATAGGATCTAAAATCCTATCCCCTTTACCCCAATTTGAGGGAATGCTACAGGGCCATCCAGCCTCAGAGTTCACTGTGCAATCAGCTGAGGGCTTTGTTAAAACTTCTTCGCCACTCACCTTCTCCCTCTGTTTGATCGTGCTTCTTTCCTTCTCCCCTACAGCTGTCAATCCTGAGAGCCCAACCTAGTAAACTCCCTACATCTGCTTTCCAGGGAAGCTCAGCTGGAACATCTGTTTGCTTGGCACTTTACATATATTATCTCCCAAAACCTTGCAGTAGGATTTTAGGGCAGTTATTGGTGTCTCTGTTTTGCAGAAGAAGAAAACTATGTTCAAAATGTTTATGTATTTTACACAAAGGTACACTATTAATAAATGCCAGAGCCAGGTTTGAAAGTGGCTGTGTTTGGATATACAAACTATGCTTTTTTCATTAAGCCAAATGAATCTCTGCAGTCAGTCTTGTGTTTTATTATTTTTGTGCTTTTCTAGTTCTCTCTGGTAGATGGTAAATTCTTTGGCTGCAGTGATTTTATCTTATTTGTCTTTGAATCCCCTGCAGGGTATTGCACAGTAACTTGCACATAATAAGGGCTGCATGTTTTTGGAATTGACTAACTATTTGAGGCTTGAAATGTAAGTTCTACTTCTATTCCACAAAAAATAGATTCCCTAGGAGGAAAATAAAATCATGATGGTAAGATGTGGAAATTGTTATTTGATTTGAATTTCATGAAATAATCTCCTAAAAAGGAGTGATACTAATTTTCTTCTCTTTGCTTACTATTAGATAACAACATGCAATTTTCCAGAACTTTGCTTATAATTGCTAACATAAGCAAATCAGTGAATGTAATAAAATTATACTGAATTTTGATGACAAATATTATGGGTTTTACCTCATATTCCTGATTCAGGCTTCTATGAAATCGAAGTTATTAGAGAAGAGAATCTAAAATGTAACAAGGAAATGGGCTTGTTCCTCACATAAGAATTGAAAGTATTCTAACAGACTTAAGTTTTTGTGGCAGCAGAGATATGTAAGATGACATTTCCAGTAATCACTGGAATTTGCAAGTGCAAGATGAATTTTCCTTAATTAAAATCTACCAGGTTAATAATATTTTAAGTACAAGTGAAATGAATATATAACTAATTAGTTATGCTGTTAGGAATAAATAACATTAGATTTAGGGTTAGATTTAGGGAAGCAGACATTTAAAAGTAAACTACAAAGATTGCTGTTATGGTCTGAATATTGGTGTCCTCACAAATTTATACATTGGAACTTAATTCCCAACATGATAGCATTAAGAGATAGGGCCTTTGGGAAGTGATTAAGTTGTAAAGGCTTTGCTCTCATAAGTGGGATTAGTGCCCTTATGGACAGTTGAAGGGAGTTGCTTCACCCCTTTCACTCTGTGAAGACACGTGGAAGCTGCTATTGATGAGCAACAATCCCTCCCCAGACACTGAATCTACTGGCTGCTCCTTGATCTTGGACTTCCCAGATCAAGATCAACCGTGAGAAATAATTTCTGTTGTTGATAAATTACCCAGTCTGGGATATTTTGTTATAGCACCCTCAACAGACCAAGACAAACACACAGTAGAGAAACTTTCTATATTGACTGAGTTTTATTGTTCTTGCACTCCAGATAATCAACATGAAAAGATATTTCTAACACCAAATAGGGGTCAATTAGTTGAAGTTGTTAATGCCAGAAGGTCCTGGCAAATGGCATAACATATCTACAGAATGCATGATTGGTAACTAACCCAAATATGCTATAAAAACGATTAATACTATAACCTTTCAGTTCTTCTGGTGGATGAAATATGAAGCCACTTAGGTGAGATGATTTTACATGCCAGCACTTTGAGTGGGTCAAACACCATGATTCCTAGAACTCCACTTTTAGAAATTTATTACTTTAGTTGACCACTTTAGCTCCTATTACAATATGTATTTCCCAGAGAAACTGATACTCATCAGTTCCTTAATACCAATGTGCCTTTTATTGGAGAAAAAAAAAAAAAAAACCCTACAGAAACAGAGGTCTGGAAGCAAGAAACATAGTTTCAAAAATCAAATGGAACAGGCCAAAATTATAATTGCATATTATGATTAATACTGAACCTTAAGACTGAGACCTAAAACAATCTAGCTTTCAGTTAACTTACTTTAGTCTGTCTCATCATATTATTTCCTTTTATATTTAGCCTGTTCTAGAAGTTCTGTAAACATTTC